TTCTATCTGCTGCCAGGGAGGATTCTTCTTCTTCTTATTATTATTTACTACATATTATAATGACCAATAATACTTATTCTTAATAATTATTATTATCTTGATTTATAAATGCTACATATTATATGAACTAATATTATTTATTTATTATTATTTACTAATATTATTTTTTCTTCTTCATCTTCCTTCTTCTTCCTTCTTCTTCTTCCTCCTCTTCCTTCTTCTTCTTCCTCCTCTTCCTTCTTCTTCTTCCTTCTTCTTCCTCCTCTTCCTTCTTCCTCTTCCTTCTACTTCCTCCTCTTCCTTCTTCTTCTTCCTCCTCTTCCTTCTTCTACTTCCTCCTCTTTCTTCTTCTTCTACTTCCTCCTCTTCCTTCTTCTTCCTTCTACTTCCTCCTCTTCCTTCTTCTTCCTTCTACTTCCTCCTCTTCCTTCTTCTTCCTTCTACTTCCTCCTCTTCCTTCTTCTTCCTTCTACTTCCTCCTCTTCCTTCTACTTCCTTCTTCTTCCTCCTCTTCCTTCTTCTTCCTCCTCCTCTTCCTTCTTCTTCTTCCTCTTTCTTCTTCTTCTTCCTCCTCTTCCTTCTTCTTCCTCCTCCTCTTCCTTCCCAGTCTTAGTCCGTAGGCTTCTTCTTCCTCCTCTTCCTTCTTCTTCCTCCTCTTCCTTCTTCTTCTTCTTCTTCCTCCTCCTCTTTATTATGTGATATATTTTATGATCTGCCATTTTATTTATTATTATTTACTAACTAAAACATTATTTGTTTTAATCATAATGACTATTTTTGTTGCTCTCATTATTAATATTCTGAGCCTTTCCGCTACATAATATTCTATATTCTATAATTTGGCCCTTTTTTAGTATTATTATTAGATTATCATAGTTACGGTAATTATTTTTTATTATGATATTTTCCTGTCTCGTTATTATTGTTCTTCCCCCTTTTCCTGTTATTAGTGATGATGATGAATGAGACGTTCCCGGGGTGAGTGACGCGGCGCTAGGCGACGGCTTTACCATGAACCGCACTGTGACGTCCCCGGCGTACGGAGGGGTGGGCACGGAACCCAGCTTGGTCACGCCCCCTTATAATGGCACCCGGGGGGCGGAGCATGGAGGAACAGCGGGCACCTGGCTGCTCTCTCTCGGCATCATCACTGTGATTGGACTGGCCGTGGTGATGGTACGTAATGGCAACCCCCCTCCCCCCCGACCGACCTAGCGCAGCGGAGGCGGCCATCCCAGTGTGCTGGGACAACAAATACATGTCAGCGGTGCGGTTCCTGAGGACTAACAGGCTGCATTCTGGTCCAATGAGTGGGGGAGGTCACCTGTGTGTTTAGTCCATGACCACCACTGGGGGGAGGGGGGGGCTTCACAGAGCTACATAGCCCATCAGCCCATCAGGTCTCTGTACTGAGCAGGACTCATCCACAGCGCCAGCTCCAGAAATCGCCTTTTACACGGAATTCCCCCAACATGGCCGAATCTATAAACTGCGCTACACATAGACGGGGGAGGGGATGACTGCGGGAATGCA